TAATCCTAACCAATTTTAAAAATCCTACATAAGTGTTTTCTAAAGAATATTATCTTATAGGCGACATCTAAACATATATTTTAGGCAATGCAATGTATACTAATAATATACCCCATAAAAAGAATTCCTTTTCGTTTTAAACATTATTTTGAACACAACTTAATACAGATTATCGTCGAATGAGGAATGTTAAGCATGAATTTTCCGATTACGCTAAGTTAAGAATCATATGAAAAATATATATGCATAACCATACCCCACCTTCTATTTCGATGGAATATCAATTTCTTTCGAGATATTCACCCTCACCAAAGACAGTGGAATCTCATTCCCAGGACATTCCGATCTTTGGAATATTAATTTGATTAATTTTCTTTTCGTTCAAGCGGGTCTTGTAACAGTAAAACAAAAGAATTTTCATAGAGAGAAAATTGGAAAAGAAGTAACCATGCTATATGGCATACTAAGAAAAATTATTTGAGATATTAGGAATTTTATTATAATTTTAGATTATAATTAAAATATAGCAATTGTAATAATTTATTATTAATGCAGATATATGAAAGTCTGCATGAAAATGGTTAAATAAAAAAGATTGAATGATTCGTGGACTTGTGATAAAGTATAAATGTGATGCAAGTTATCACTTACTAACACTATTATCAGAAAAATCTTAAGTTAAATTATTATTGACAATTTGAAATTATAATTTCAGAATATAATTAAAATATATCAATATTAACTATCATTACTAACTCAAGAACGTATATCTTAGTAGAGTAGAGCGGGGCTTGAAGATCCGCGGTTAAAATGATCCACCAAAACGAGTAATGTTTAGATTTTTAAAGACAATATTTGAAAGTAAAGGGAAAAAGATAAATAACCAGCCATCACGTCGATTCTTATGAGTTTTCTATCGGGAAATAAACGTCAATGTTGAAAATCCGTAACAAAAGTATTTTCTTTCATTGTAAGCGTTTTTGGTTGTGAGCACTGTTGTTTAGTTCACGAGTCTATAATATAATTTTTGAGTACACGTTATTTAATTGTTCTATGAGATGTATTGTTAATTTTAAGTTGGATTCAATAGTTTTTTTATATTACCTCTAGAAAATGGGAATGGGGCAAAAAGCACTATTTAAGCCTCTACTCTGGTAAAGGTATAAAAATAAAAAATAGTAAATATGAACGTAATTAAGCTAAAAAAGCAAATTTACAATATACAATGTTATCTGTAAAAAATATACTCATGTAATTTTTATTTAGGTTGATCCGTTCAAAATTAAAATAAGGCATTAGACTGATTACCCTCTGGCTGTTCCATTTTACCTCGCCTATAGGGTAAAAAGGACCAGATGACATTTTTTTGAAAAAAACATTTCTAAAATGATGAATTAACTTGGAGACTTACTGAACATAGTCAGATAGTTGTTTAATTGATATAAGTCATTTGTTGTGATGTAATTGGTATAGTTTTCACAATATAATTGCTCAAATTGAAATTGGACGTTTAAGCTCCGACCTATTCTATATATTTTATATTATCACACTTTGAACTTTGTTTACCTGAAGCGATTACAAGTCTACTAACCATTTAATCTATTGCATTTATTTTTTTGCGGTTTATTAACCTTTTCCATGCAACACATCATATTTTTTTTATTGGCCTCCGCTTTACAGCATTTTAGCCACCTACATTATTCATATTATTTTTCATCATATTCTATATATTCTTAAATAAATATTTCTTATTCATTCATCATATATATGGTATACTATATCTTCTTATACCCTAATTTTCCATTCAATTTTATTTTCTTCAATTCCATTAAATTTTTCATTCTTCTTCTTGTTTCTCAATATGTTCTTCTCATCTTCTAAACTAAACTTCTTTTTTTTTTCTTCTTACTTCTAATACAATTTTTTCTTGTATTCTACAAATTAACAATTCTTAATCTACTTTAATATTTTATATTTTTACTTGTGGTATTGCTGGAGATTCGAACCGAATTCCTCCAGCGTGTGAGTCGAGAACGCTACTGAGTGAGCTATTCCTGCCACAACACATCATATGTGTTGAGAATTTATTTCTATTTATTAAGTATGTTTTATGATTGTTATAAAGAAGTTGATTTAAACGTTTTAAAAAGTTCTATAAATATTTAGAAACCATATTGATCGTATATAAAATAATTAAAATGCAGGATTTTCGAGAAATAAATTTTGCTTTTAATAATTTTCTTTTAATGGCATTCGTAAGGTTTCATAAATCTCTTCCAGAGCACAAAAGCACTTTCATCGCATAGGTTCAAACGCAGAAGTAACGAAATAATGAAAAAACACGCTAATTACCCAGAATACGACTTTCGCTTCATTATTCAATTTTCTAATTAATTCTTTTTTTGAAAAACATTTTTATCCTGCGCTTTGTCTCTTAGCATTTTTTATTTCTCCAAGCGCGTTCCTTCGTCCTTCTAATTCTTTTTTTAAGACTAGGCCCTGAGGGTTAAAAACAAATAAAAAACTGCAACCCCACCCAGACGAATTGCACGGGGGGCGCCAGTGGGTGGCTCGCGCGCTTTCTTCCAGAAGCGCTTGGCCTCTCGCTCGACCGCGCAGCGCTCTATTGTTGTTCTCATCTCGTTTTAAGGGTGATACAACTTTTTCCCGTTAATTTTTTGTGTCGGTGGCCTCGCTTTAATTCGCCGTAGGGTGAGCACTTCTTTCCACTGTATATTATAAAAGCTAAGGATTTATTTACCACCCTTATATTTATACTGCCATCCTTCTTCGAGTTCTGCCAAACTCTAGTACATTCGACCGTTACATTATTGTTTTGCGTTCTGCTTTCGCTTAGAAAATCATGACAGATCATTTTTCGAACCATACCATCTTTTAGAATAGAAAAATATTGCTAATTTGCATAAAAAGCTCTTATATTACTAATTTGTTTCTATAGTATGGTCTGCAACCATAATGGTTGCAGAAATTCTGTTAATGTATTATTCTGATTCACAACTTTCATTCACGACTCCAACGGGAATCGAAAAATACAATATAGATTTTATATTTTCAGAATTAAACAAAATAAACTAGTGGTGTATGGCATCGTGCCTTAAGGCAAATTGCCTTAAGGCAAAACTTCCCGTACCGTAACGAAATTTTCGAGGAATATTAAATGTTTTCATATAGATTATTATAAACTGTAACATTATCTAATATTTATAAGAGTTATATAAACTGAATTACAAAGTTAAAATTATTTACTTAATGTATATAAGTGAGCTTTAGAATTTTAGCCAGAATTAAAATTAAAATCTAAATTATTTTCGATATACAAAAAAAAAAATTTGAGAAAAAAAAAATTGAAATATTTTTTTTTTCGAAAAGCAATCATTTTGTCAAAACAAGCAAAAAGTTTTTTGAATCATCAGAAAAAAAATGGGAAAAAAAGTTTTTTGAATCATTCAAATCAGATGCTCAGTTCTCTCAAAACTGCTGTTTTTTCACATTTGGCTCGGTATATCCAAAACAGCTGGACCTGCCTTCGCCAAAATCTAATCACTTCTCAGTATCATTACGAAAAAAATGCTTTTTCGAATGCTCCGTTCTCTCAAAAACTCGATTTCTATTTTCTGCACTCGGGCTCTGTATCTCCGAAACGGCTGGACCTACCTTTGCCAAAAACTAATTAGCACATCTCCCTATCAATAGGAATCAAATGTTTTTCGAACCATTCAAAACGGTTGAACCGTACGCCTGAAAACGTGAACGAAAAAATGCAGCCACATAAAACACACACACATCCATTTTTTCTGAGGTATGCCAAAATATTCAAAAACCTTCAAAACGTCGAGAAATTCAAAAATTTTCAATTTCGATTTTTGGACGATTACAATAACTTACCCTACGGGAGTTAGATTTAACGGTTTCTGAATTTTTGAAATGGGTACAGGCCTTTTATACTCTTCTGTTATCTATAGGGTATAGATATCATCAAAAATCATCTAAATAGTAAATTTTACGTTTACCGACGCACAATAATTGTTAATATTAATTGTGCATTTATAATTTACTTAAACAATATATAAATAAGGGTTAAAATAAAGTAAATGTAAAGTAAAATAAAAGTAAATCGGTCCATATAGTATGACGTCCCTTATGAAAGAGACGATCGCGTGTTCTTTGACTGAATGTACTTATTTAAGAATTTCATGAAATTTAGCCCGCGGGAATTAAATTTTCTAATTACAATACTTGAACTTCTTATTCAGTCCGTAGGCGGAGCGAATACACGTAAACATCTATAATACTTTTATTTTTCCAGGAAAGCTTGCTCCATCATTCAGAAAAAAACTTTCCCTGATGACTAATTTATGATGCCCCTCCTTCCGCCTTAAGACCTAAAAATCTTTATCTTCTTATAGATAACACATATATTAGTATTATGTTTGATGTTTTTTCTCTGAGTATCTTAAAAGAAGGAAATGCGGTTTTCATTTCAAGTTAAAAGTGAAAATCATAATTAGCGCGCGCAATTCCTTTGATGCCTTTTGATTGCTTTGAAAAGAATTTCATAATTTATAGAATTTGGGGCAAAGGTACTTCTCAAAGAATCTTGCATGTTATGATTGAAAAAAATTGTTTTGATTTGAATTCAAAATAATATTTGCGAGTTCTTAATGTTTTTGAGAAAAATAATATATTAATACCTGCAAAACTTCATTTTAAAGTTTTCTCCATGAAGCATTAATAACGCTCCATGTAGAAGTTAACGCTTTTTTGTGTTCAAAATAAATTTTTCAACAACAAAATGATATCAGTATAGGCAATACAGATAAAAAATATTTAGTTAACATATTTTATTTCAAAGTAAGTTCAAGATTACGGACATTATACCAATTTAATAGAATAACATGTTCAAACTGTGATCAACTGGGCAATACAATGTTTATACAATTAAGAAAAAACGTGGAAACTATATATACATATACATAAATTTAAAGTTCCGTTGTCTGATAGTCGAGATCAATTCCATCTATAAAATCGCTAGATACCTCTTCGTAATCTTTTTCTAATGCACTTAGATCTTGTCGGGCCTCGATAAATTCTCCCTCTTCCATACCTTCGCTAACGTACCAGTGGACAAATGCTCTTTTTGCATACATCAGGTCAAATTTCTTGTTCAATTTGGCCCAAGCATGTTGAATAGCCGTAGTATTTGACAACATAGAAACAGCCCTTTTAACTGGAGCTAAATCGCCTGTAGGAACAGCGGTCGGAGGCTGATTATTTATGCCAATTTTAAAACCGGTTGGACACCAATCAACAAATTTGATGCATTTTTTTTCTTTAAGAATAGTTATGGCAGCATTTACATCTTTTGGTACGACATCTCCACGATAGAGCATACAGCAAGCCATATATTTACCTTTTTTGGCATCGCATTTCACCATTTGGTTGGTATCGTTAAACAATTCAATTGTGATCTCGTTGACACTCATGCCTTCATGATAAGCTTTAGCTACTGAAATAATTGGGGCATAGGATGCTAGAGGAAAGTGAATTCTCGGGTATGGCACAAGATTTGTCTGGAATTCAGATAAATCGACGTTTAATTTCCCATCAAACCGAAGAGAAGCAGTAATTGAGGAAACCACCTGACTGATCAAACGGTTTAAATTAGTGTAGCGGGGTCGTTCAATGCCTAGCTTAGTTCGACAGATATCATAAATAGCTTCGTTATCGACCATAAATGCCACATCCGCTGCTGCAATTGTTGCATGTGTAGTCAAAATGGCATTGTAGGGTTCCACAACAGCCGTCGAAACCTTCGGCGCTGGATATACTGCTACTTGTAACTTACATTTCTTATGGTAAGTATCATTGAGTTTCTGCATTAACAATGAGGAAAAACCTGATCCAGTGCCACCTCCAAAAGAATGGAATACAAAGAAACCTTGTAAACCTCTACATTGTTCGGAGAGCTTGCGTATGCGATCCATAACATTGTTTATGACATCACGCCCGATTGAATAATGACCGCGAGCATAGTTATTGGCAGCATCTTCTTTAGCAGTTATTAGTTGATCTGTGTTGTAAAGGTTCCTATAAGTGCCCACGCGAATTTCATCTGAAACGTGTATTTTAAGTACTCTACTGGATAAGATGATAAGATTACTTTATATAGTTACAATTTACAATATATAGAATATATATTTATTTATATATATACACCTAAGTCTGTTTTTACACGGAGATTGGTTCCAGAAGAATCCGTGTAAAAAAAAACGTGTAAAAAAAGCATTGATCTTATACAAAAATGGGTGATTTGTTCCTAATCTCTAAAACCTATTAAAATTCATGAAAAACAAGAATTTTTAAGAACAAGGATTAAATTAGTGCTATTCACATTTGCTTTGACCAGTAAAAATTGTTTGTACGCGCTAAAGGGGAATTCACTTAAATATTTAAGCTAGTGTTCGCAAACTATCGATACTATCGATGGTTTCAGACTTTTTTCTTTCATAAATACTTTTTTGTGATATGAACTTCGCAAAAATTTAATTTGACAAAAAAAATTTAGGTAGTAATTTAGGTAATGGAGTAAATTCGTGTAAAAAAATTAAAAATATTCAATTTTCAAACCGTGTTATATCAAAACCGTGTACAAAAAGACCGTGTAAAAGCAGAGTTAGAGGTATATATATATATATATATATATATATATATATATATATTTCAAAGTAACTAGCAGCCCATTCGTCGAATAAAAAAGTAATAAAGTATTTAAGAACCTTTATTTATACGTTTTGACACCAGATGCGTGTCATCATTCAGCAACAGTACAGTAGATTCGCTTGCTTGATATGGGCGTGTTTAATGCGTCATAATGTTACAGTGCAAAACTTTTTTCAAAATGGTTTTAATGTTTTAGTTATTCATTATTTTTCCAAAAAATGTCCTTTTCCAATATGTTACAAGTTTAATTTTTTAAAAAACAAATATTAGTTTAAGTGTTTTTGTCCTGGTGTTGCTGAATGATGACACGTATCTGGTGTCGAAACGTATAAATAAAAGTTCCTAAATACTTTTTATTACTTTTTTATTCGACGAATGGGCTGCTAGTTACTTTGAAATATGTTTTGACGTCGAAAAAACTATCAAGATTTATATATATATATATATATATATATATATGTGTGTGTGTGTGTGTGTGTTTTGTTTGTATGTGTATGTGCCTGCATGACTATGTAGGTTTCGAGGAGTGCAAAACCCAGGACAATTTACCAAATGGACATAATCATCGAAATCATTATCAATATCGACAAATCAATGGTGATGAGAATGCCAAAAAAACAAGACTTTTCGGTAAAAGAGAAATTAAAAAGTAAAATTAGTAAAAAAAAACATGAATTGAAAGATTTGGGCCACTCCGAGTATTTGGGAAGAAATAATGGCGAAATCGCTAAAACTAAAATGTCTACCCTTAAAAATATGGAATGCTAGTCATGAGAAAATTGCGAAATAAACTGATTAAATATTATATTTGAAGCATGGCTCCATAGATAAACAAGTATAAAAGCATAGCTCTTTAAAAATCAGAAAGAAGGACTCTGAGAAAACCGAAAAAATACTCAAATAGAGTTTCGAAAGTACTAGAGATTAATAAAGAATATAAAACTAATAAATAAAAAGAAAAAATGCTGGCGAAGAAGGAATTAATATATAAAAATTATATATTATATATTAAATGCTGAATTATATATAAAAATATTACTAAATTTTGAAGTTACACCGTTGTAGATTTTTCGAAAACCCGAAAAACTTTTTTGGAGATAATATCAACGATGGTGTAATCAATATTTTATAAATGATAATAGTTTTGGAGATTAATATTGGCATATAAACATGTAATTTTTGTCTTGAAGTCGATTATAAACGGCTTAAGCATGCCGAACGGTCTATGAGGGATGCGCCAAAAGTAGGACGGTCTAATATAAAATCATCAAGGTAAGAAAATAAGAAAGAAATAAGAAGTATAAAAAGACTTCTGTATGTTGCTGGAATATCAGATTAATAGTAAAAAAAATTAAATTGACAAATTTTTCATTTTTTCTTATCTATAATTTATTTCAAAACTTTAAACTCGTTTTTCTCGGAACACAATTTTTCAACGCGACACGCAAAATAACTACAACACTTTAAATTTTTTTCATTCGATTTTCTCACAGTATATTTGAAACTACATTTTTAGATGCCCATCATAGCTGATTTTCTATATGTTAATTTGTTTATCAATTAATATCGAATTACTATCCATTTTTTTCGTTGTAATTTAACATTTCTGAATAAAGTGCTAGCAACAAAAATGATGGGCACTTCAAAATGTTATTTTAAATATACTATTGAAAATTTGAATAAAAAATAATTGAAATTGTTGTAGTTATTTTGCGTGCCGCGTATTTGATGCGGCTCATCGAAAGGGCTGGTACCGCCGTTTTTAATTTTTTTTTACAATTATATTTTATTTGTTTGCTTTAAAGGACTATCTTTAATATCGTGATTGTATTACTCGTAGTTTTCCTTCCGCCCGAAAAAATGGCTAAAATATACGTTTTTTTGGCTGCTACAGTGGTGTAAACCACTTAATTATAAATTATTATAATACTAAATTATTATAATTATTATTATTGAACAGTGAACAAAAGAATATAAAATATGGGCCTGCATTGAAATTTTCTGGATAATTGATTTTTTTTGTTAAGTAAAAATTTATTCAAATTTGTTATTAAACTAAAATCAAATGATATTTGTATATAAAATGGTGATGGTATTCGTGCAAATTTTGTCAAAAATGAAATGCATACCGATAACCGTCGGTTCTAGGTCAACCATAACGCTTCTTGGTACCAGTTGACCATTGGCACTCTCATTGAAAAATGATGTGTAACAGTTGTCCGCTTGCCAAATTGATCTTTCACTAGGATCAGTCAATATACCATTTGGTTTAATACCGTGTTCCAGACAGTAAAGTTCCCAAGTCGCGTTGCCTATTTGTACTCCAGCTTGGCCCACGTGCAGATTGATGCATTCTCTCTATAAGAAAATGAACTTATACTTAATATTATCAGAAATGAATCATTTTATGCCAAATGTTCTTCGAACAGTGCCAAAAGTTTTGGGTCATCAAATCGAACAGTGCCAAAAGTTTTGGGTCATCAAAATAAAGCTATACGAGTATATCAATCTCAGAGTAAGTTGCGCTGGTAAGGTATCGGATAAAAACGAAGGGTTTATTATAAAAAATTCAGAAGTTTCAATACTCAATTTCACTTCCTTGGTTAAAAAAGGTATATATATATATAACATTAGTATTGAAATAATTTAAAATAACACAGAATAAATTCGATAGAATATTATACATATTAATGTAAGAATTCAAATTCGTGTCGTATAGTGATATGAACATTTTAAAATATTATAGGTCTTCTAAAAGTGATTTAATTGTAAAAAATAATTAAAAAATAATGAGCTGAAATAATAAACAACGTTCTTTATATGCACCATACAGATATATTATGTTATGTATTGTTTTTGTACTGATCCGTTGATTTTTTTACCGCGTCTTAAATAAAAAACAAACATTTCTAGAACAAATTATAAGAAAATTAGTTAAATAAACTAAATTAAATTAATACAATTACATTTTTGATAAGTTTGATTGAAAGATATCAATTGTAAATCCCATTGATTAGTTTTAAATGAAAAACAAAAACGTTATTGTCAAAATATGTATAGAGTTGAAAATTGTATCTAAACAGCTAAATCTCAATTCCTATTGACAATTGTATATTATTCATACATATCTGAAAGGTTATGCAACTTGATTCAAAGCTACTTACTATTTCTGACAAATTTAATAAAATAAATCTTTTAAAAGCATATTGAGATATAAATTATGAAATATATGTATATATTATATATTAAATACGTACCATTGTGAATTGTTGCAAAGTATACTTGTAATTTGGAGTTATGAAATAAGGAATGAAAATATTGAACAGGATATTGAACTACTTAAATTTTGGCATTGTACTTTGAGAGAGGATTTTGTTTTTAGGGTTACTACAAATGTTTTTCATTTAAACAAAACGCGTATTTGTCAAACTTTGAGCTAAATGTTGCCATTGTTTTTGTATTTTTGTTTTCAAGTTAAAACAAGTTTTGCAATATTTACTTATAAATTAAAATGTTAACTTTTTATAAAATACTGCCAATAAATATTATTGTTCGGTACTTATTTATGGCGATGGCTTAAAAATAGATCAAATGGTACTAAGATTAGTAATGATTTTATTAAAGTTAGAAGTTATTATTAAATATAGAAGATCAAATTTGAAACTAGATGAAAGTGGAATTTAGCCTTAAGGCAAGTTGCACAAACTTCCCGAAATGTGTAATTAAAATTTAGAAAATTGATAAAGTTATCATTGCGATTTCGAATAAAATTTTCTCAAACACATTTAAATTAACTGTAATTATATTAATTATATTACACAGGCAAGTGCTTGTAATCTTGCATGCCGTAAAATTGTAGCTTATTATTTTAAATTTCAACGATGAACTTTGATGAATTTTTAACATGAAATCATATGTCGTAGGGCCGTAACATTATAGTATGGCCCGGTAGATTTTTACCTAAAACTAATCAGTATCATTTCCAACCAATATCTTTCGAACAGTTTTTGATTTTTTTAAATCGATTCAGAATTGAGAGCTAATACGTCGACAATTTTTTTTCACTTTTTTGCTATTTAAGAAGAAACGGCATGAAAGTTTTAATTGTGACAAAGGCCAGAAAAAATACTAATTAATGCAAACTCTGACAAATTTTTAAAAATAAACGACTTGTCGTAAAGCCGTAATATTTTAGTATGATCTATAAGGCTATGGTATCTACCGTCAAAAAAAATCATAAAAAACGCCGAAAAATTTTTTTTTTAACACTATTACAAGAAAATGGCGCAGCCGATCTTTACCAAAAACTAATCAGCACGATTCCCAACCAATATCTCTCGAACAATTTTTAAATGTTCAAAATCGATTCAGAATTGCGAGCTAAAACGTGGACGAAAGTTTTTTCACTTTCCTACTATTTACAAAGAAACGGCTCGGCTGATCGTCGCGCAAAATTGATAAACACTAGTCCTCATCGGGATACATCGAATGGCTTGTAAATTTTTGAAATCGGTCTAGCCGTTTTTGAGAAAACTTCGAATTGCGGCAAAAACTCTGTTCACATACACACACCTACTTTTTCCAAATTTGGTCGGAATTCAACGAATCGGATTTTTTTTTTGTTATTATTCTTGTTAAATTCTTGTTATTATTCTTGTTTTTGATGTCGTTTCCAAAATGTCATTGAAAATTGAAGAATGAAAGTAATTACACGAGACTACTAGAAAAATTAGATCCATTGTTTGGGTCATCATAAGTGTATTTATTTGAAAAAAAAATCGCTGACATAACTCAATCACTATAATAACCATCGTATCGATAAAAATTGATATTTGATATTTTTATCATGAATAACAAATACCAAATTTACAATCTGTCACTGATACGCGGAAGGTAGTTTGACAACTCTTCAAAACTCGATGACATATGTACATCATATAATAAAACCACACGTCACCAAGTATTACATATCAATTCTTTCAAAAGCCTGTCAACAACGGATTTTTTATTACTCTATTTACTCAATATGGAGAAAAATATCACGATACTCTTTCGTTATTATAATCAAATAAAACTCTATATTTTAAATATCATTGCTTATTAACTTCCGGTAAGAGAATTCATTCCTTTTGCCAGAAAATCCTATATGCTAATCATTTGATATAACCCGATAAGGACTTGCATTGATTAGTATTGCAAGACGATCGGCCGAGCCGTTTCTTTAGAGTGAGCAGAAGTATGCAAAATTTTCCGTCCATGTTTCCGCCAAAATTCCTGATTTTGAAAATTTGAAAACCGTTCGAAGGGTATTTGTTGGGAATCGTGCTAATTAGTTTTAGGCGAATTAAAAATTTAATTTACAAAATGCGACCTATACTTAGTTTAATATAAAATTATTATTATTAGCTTATGACAGATATTACATATATGCTAAATACCAGTTAATAACAAATACATTCTCCATTCTGCTAATTCGCAATTAACCTTTCAGATAACCTTATTATATAAACTGAGATATTTTTGCAACAAAATAAAATTATGATCAATATTAAAAATTAAGTGGAAATTGAAGGTAAAACCTTATATAAATGATTGGTTACTAATATATTACCTTATACAAATAATATTGTTCGTGAAATTTAACTTAATCACGACAGCGTATAAAACTAGATCAGAAATTAAAAAATTACAACAAAAATTTGATATATTTTATAAAATAAGTATTTACTTAGGAAGAAGAACCAAGAAATTTTGGTTGGAATGTTGACTATCTTCAAGTTAATATTAAAAGCTAGAACTTTTTGAGATTTTTTTTATCAATTTGGAAACATTTGAGCCCCTAGGAGCAAAGAAATTCGCTCCATGTGTTCATAATATTTATTCATCATGGCATCAAGATTAATTTTGCAGCAAAATATTTATTGAAACTCAAATTATCGGTAATATATCGCCACCAAAATTACAACTGCTAAAAGTTTTTTTTTATCACAGATGGCGCAAGAATTTACTTAATGACATATGTTAATAACAAGTATAAGAAACTTTTAATTGGAGTGCGCTCTATCTAAATGTTAATATTAAGAGCTAAAACTATTAGAGATTCATTTTTTATTAATTTGGAAGCATTGGAGCCCTTGGGAGCAAAGAAATTTGAAAATGTCCATGTTAAGGGCCACCCTAATATATTATATATATATATATATATATATATATATATATATATATATATATATATTATGATGGCGTGGCCAAAGATCGAATTTGAGAAATTATATTGTGAAAACTAAAACAATTATAACACAGCAAATTACACATATCAAACTCACAACTATCTGACTATGTTCAGTAAAATCTAGCCAATTCATCATTGTAGAAATGTGTGTTTTTTTTGCTGTTTTTCAAAAAATTGTCACCATGCTCTTTTTACCCCATAGGCGGGTAAAATGGGTAGGCCAAGGAGCAAACAGGTTCAATGTCTTTTTTTTACCTTTAGAGATTTTTATGAAATAATAGGCACATTATTCAACCAGTTAAATTTATATAATTTAAATGTTGTTACGATAGTGTCACAACAAATAATTATCATCTTTTCTTATGCAATTTTTTTATATATGCATTTAAAAAATATATAATTAAAAATGATTTATGACGACTTACAATGCTTGCGATTTTTAAGGCAAAAATCGCAATCTGCCATTAACCAAACACTAGGGCATTAGAAAATTTGGATTGATTATATATATAAGGTTGTCAAATATCTCCCTTCCGCCTTTTTGTATTATAAACCAAGAGCAAAAAAGCGGAAGGGAGATATTTGACAACCTAATATATATATATATATATATATATATATTTAATATATATATATATATATATATATATATATATATAATGTTTGCATATTTATAGGCTATATGAGTTTATAATATATTCATCCGTACACATGTTTGTCTTATTAATACGAATAACTACGAAGTTAATAATGTTATTGTGCGAATGAGTACATCAAAATGTACATCTGACCGATCTTAGAACGGTGATTATTTTCCCATATATTATATTGTAAAAGCCAATTGAGTCGAATATTTATTTATTTGAAAGAATCCTGAACAATTAAATAACATATACAAAAATTATATTAAGGTCCCGTAAACGGAAAAACAGTGCTCATAACCAGAAAAACTAACAACGAAAAAAAAAAAACTTTTGTAATGCTGTATATTTTCCCTACATTCAATTTCTCTACATTGTTAAAAAAAACTCTTAACTTTACTTGTTTTTTGGCAATTTAATTTAATTTAATGTATTATTATCAAATTGGTAGATGTACATAGTTTATAAGTTATGCTGCTTAAATA